TTGTTGCTTTGCTGCTGCCCCTTTCAGACCGCTTTCATGGGGGGCAGCTACTTCTTGATGCTCATGATCTTTGGCGGGGGCTGTTTTCTCTGGCTCGGCGCGGTGCTCGTTGGGTTGTTGTTCTCGGCTTTATCGCCTCTCTCTCTTCTGCTATGCGCTCTCGGCGGACTTGGTGGCGGGGTGAGGGGAGCGCGGGAGGGAGGGAGGGGGGGCGCGCTGCTCCACCTGCACATAGGGATTTCAGCCAGGTAAAGATGGATTCGTTTATGCCTTTTACCAAGTGTGTGCTGGTCTTATTCGATTTGGTATGCATATATAGAGATGGATTCATGTTAGGATATGGTGCTGTGGCGAGTCTAATAAAAAATGGAGTTTTCGAGTTACATGATTGTTGTCCAACAATAGATGTGCCACTACTACAACAATAGCTATTAAGTTAATAAATGCGCTATTCAAATTTTACATCTATTATTGGTACTTATAATGTTGTTAAATTGTACCATCAGTTTTATTCAGCCTATGGCATTGGACTCCAGATCTTCATGATTTGTCTTTTAATGAGTGCCTTGTTTCTTAAATAGTGTGGATGAACTGTTTAGGTTCCTTAGATATACTTACCTCAGTTGTTTTATATTAAACAGTAGTGTGTCTTCAGAATAGATGATATGTGTGAAGAGTTATATTAAGAGCGCACCAATTAGTCCTATGAAGGAGTCATATTATTGTTGCTAAATGAGGTCGACTGATCATGACATGCATCAGTGTGATATTTTCCGACGACATCTAGCTGTAGTATGTATCGGATGAGCGTAATAAAGTCTGCTTTATATGATAATTGATTAAAAAATGCATTTTGTTGTCATGTTATTTACCGCTGATTACTTTCTCATTACTATATATAGTTCATTGTTATTATGATAGGTTTTTTTAGTGCTAGGCTCTTAGCAACGGAGTGCCGCCTTTACCTGATGCAAAGCTAACATCTATTGTTTATATTCTATTTTATATCAGCCATATAGATGTTTTTTTTTTTTTGGTCCACCTGTTATGGGAAAGAAAATAATTGTTGGTAACGCTGTGCCATTTCAGTTGGTGCTAAATTCATAAAACATATCGATGTTCATCATCTCTTGAGTGCTTATCAATTGGATAAGCCTCTTTTTTTTCTGAGGTTTGAGTAGCTATAGTTATATATATATAATGTAAATTGCCTATTTTTAGTGCCTTGGTCAAAGAGGACATTTAATGAAACCTGTGTTTTCATGGGTGGGTTTTGGGTGTGCAAGGTAGGTTGTGGTAGTGTGATGAACCATGAACATTAGATCACTCATATTACCTGCATTGCTGCTTGTTTATATTCCATATTATGTGATGAACCATGAACATAAGATCACTCATATTATCTGCATTGGTGCTTCTATGTTCTTTGTATGTTTGTATTTCATATTATTTAGTTACAAGTATTTTTTTAGATACATGTAGGATTTACTTATATTGATTCGTGTGGTCATTTTTTTATACCTCTTGTTCCTCTGTTCTTGCATGCGTCTGCATGCCGTCTTTCTCGGTTGCTTCGTTCCTTGCTTTGTCTTTGTACACTGTTCATATTAGCTGTCCTCGGCTCCGTTGGTTGCTTGACTCTGCGGTTTTGGCTTCCTTTTAGGTAACACTACTTTCCTTATTTGGTTTGCAATATCTATGTTATGTTATCGGTATTGGTTGGTCTCGCTCTTTCGGACCGATACACGTCTGCTTACCTTTTCGTTTGTGCAAAAACATCTAGACGATTTAACACGCTCTTCGCAATTGTGTCTGGACACTTGGAATTGCTTGTTTAAATCCAAAAAAATTTCAAAACATTTTAAAATTTCTTAAAGTTTTCGGACAATCAGGCTATCTGCTTTTCATCTTAATTAAACTAAGTGAGGGAAGGGCCGCTTAGGTTCGTCTGCTTTTCTTCTCTTCCTTACGGACAAAGGATTCCTATTGCCCTCATGTTTGCCATCAATTTATCCTACATAGCTATTCTGCGAGAGGTTGTTGTTCGCTGTAATTTACCTTATGTGGCTTGTATACATGAGATAGCAGATGATGGGAGCCATGTATATGGAATTGAGGTAGAGCTCCCTCCTCTGCAGACAAATGGGTATTTCTAAAACACTCTTTTTTAGGCTTCATTTACATGACTAATCATTTGCCTTATGAGGCAAAGCTCTCTGAGTGCTCTTATAGGTTTACAAAGAATATATGGCTTCTTGGTTATTGATTATAGCATCCATGGATTACAGCTATATAGATCTTTGGCTCAACGTCTTTTCCTGATTGCAAATAGAGGTGCACATCTTGCCGATTAGTCTTGGGCGTCCTTAGAGGAGGACACAATTCCATCATCTGTTGTCTTTGATGTATGCACAAAGATTGTTAGATCAAGTCACTCATCTACATAGAGTCTTGCACTATAGTGTCGTTGTTTTTGTTCGATTCAGATTTGTACTCTCTTTTTTCTGTTTGGTTCTGTAATTTTTTTTTAAAACTGTTAAAAAACAAATTATGTTCATGTGTTTTCGGATTATGTCGTCCTCTGTTTGTCTTCCAGATGAATACATTAGTCCTTCTAATTTATATCACATATTATCATGTTTCAATGCATGCTATTGTTGTGTCAGCCATCCTTACATTATTTCATATGATGCTATGATCAGCCTGTGCAGGTTAACCTTTGTTTCGTATGCCGTCTTTCTCAGTTGCTTCGTTCCTTGCTGTGTTGTACCTGTTCATATTGGCTGTCCTCGGCTCCGTTGGTTGCGGCTCTGCGGTTTTGGCTTCCTTTTAGGTAACACTACTTTCCTTATTTGGTTTGCAATATCTATGTTATGTTATCAGTATTGGTTGGTCTGCTCTTTCGGACCGATACACGCCTGCATTACGCTTTTCGTTTGTGCAAAAACATCTAGACAACGAACACGCTCTTCATGGTTGTCTCGACACTTGGAATTGTTGTTTTTCAAAAAAAAAATTTCAAAACATTTTTAAAATTTCTTAAAGTTTTCAGACAATCAGGCTATCTGCTTTTTTATCTTAATTAAACTAAGTGAGGGAAGGGCCGCTTAGGTTCGTCTGCTTTTCTTCTCTTCCTGACGGACAAAGGATTCCTATTGCCCTCATGTTTGCCATCAAATTATCCTACATAGCTATTCTGCGAGAGAGGTTGTTGTTCATTGTAATTTACCTTATGTGGCTTGTATACATGAGATAGCGAGATGATGGGAGCCATGTATATGGAATTGAGGTAGAGTGACTCCCTCAGATGCAGTGGGGTATTTCCAAAACACTCTTTTTTTGGGCTCTGTTTACGTGACTAATCATTTGCCTTATGAGGCAAAGACTCTGAGCTCTTATAGGTTTACAAAGAATATATGGCTTCTTGGTTATTGATTATAGCATCCATGGATTACAGCTATATAGATCTTTGGCTCAACGCCTTTTCCCCGATTGCAAATAGAGGTGCACATCTTGCCGATTAATCTTGGCGTCATTAGAGGAGGACACAATTCCATCATCTGTTAGCTTGATGTATGCACAAAGAGCTTGTTAGATCAAGTCACTCATCTACAGAGAGTCTTGCACTATAGTGTCGTTGTTTTTGTTCGATTGATTTGTACTCTCTCTTTTTTTTCTGTTTGGTTCTGTAATTTTTTTTAAAAAGCTGTAAAAAACAAATTATGTTCATGTGTTTCGGATTATGTCGTCCTCTGCTTTGTCTTCCGAGATGAATACATTAGTCCTTCTAATTTATATCACATATTATCATGTTTCAATGCATGCTATTGTTGTGTCACCATCCTTACATTATTTCATATGATGCTATGATCAACTTTGTGCGAGTTAACCTTTGTTTCGTATGTATATATTGTATCTGCTTTTCTTATCTTATTGCTCCCTCTTGTCTCATACCAAACACACAACAATTGTCTTTTTATGCCTAAGGATGTTTGCTTTTTCCTAAACCAAAAGACTGTTTTCATTGTTATATCTTCATGCAAAGATGTGTAGCCTTCGGTGTTCATGGACCACCGATTTGACATCGCAGACTTCGGATCTATGTATGTACAATAGATTTTGTTTAATTTAATTTCAGTATATATATTTTCTCCTGCCCTATGAAACCTTAGTGTGTTTTTTACAGTGTTGTGCTTAATCGCATGCATGTTTATATTTATCACCGATGCTTGGTGCCTTTTACGCACCTCCGCTACAGCTAATTCGAGAGGCCGTCGCGCAAGGGGACGTATGTATCCTCCAGCGTCTAGGCCAATATATTTACAAACATTATTATCCTAGGTCTATTCTTATCTTATCTTCGCAATTCTTTACTTAGGAAATAATACTTCCTATCCCCTTGAGCGTCCTGATCCATCAAACTCTAGGCAAAAAAGAAGGAAATTGCTAAGTCAACATCGGCGTGTGTGGGGAGGTATTGAAAGCCACTTTATCATACATGGTCTATCTACATCTTTGGATCACTCTGTGCTTAAAAGCTAAAATGTGTAAACAGGTGCAGCTACTGTTTACAGCGCTCATTTGGACTGTGGTCAGTTTGATGAAGATTTTGTAGAGGCTCTGAAAGGTACACATCCCAGTTTCCTAGGTTCCGTCTGTGTTTCGTGTGGTAGCCTGTGACTCATCCATGGCTTTATGTCTGCTGTGCATGGACAATGCAGTTTCATATCCAAAGAGATCATACTATGGAGCACCCGATCAGCGATGTTGTAATTGTCGTGCAATATTTTGGCATGCAGAAAAGGTCAGCAAGGAGTCGCGAAGTTCATCTGCTTCGTTATTTACAACAAGTCTTTGCAAAGGAGGTTCAGTAGTTATACCACTTGTTTCTTCCTAGACACGAGCCTTTGGCATCTTTGGCAACATTTGGTGGGGGTCCTATTTCTAACAAGTTTATGAAGAACATTAGAAAGTACAATTGCCTGTTTGCATTCACCTCTATGGGTGCGAAGATAGACCGGACTACAAATGATGGTAGGGGTCCTCCAGTTTTCAAGATTTGTGGACAGATTCACCACCGCATTGGTTCTTTGTTGCCTGTGGATGGTCGAATTCCAAAATTTATCCAGCTATATGTATACGATACATCCAATGAGATTCAAAATAGGATTGCTTCTTTAGATCATGGTGACGCACCACCATCAGATCTAGATGGAGACATTATTCAGTCCCTGATCACCATGCTTGATGAGCACAATTCATTTGCAAAACAATTCAGAATGGCTAGAGATAGGTTGGCAGGTGATGATGTTGAAGATTTTATTATCCGCATTGTTGGTCCAAAAGATGGAGATCCACCTCAATATAGTTTACCAGCTGTTGAGCAGTTAGCAATGCTTGTAGTTGGAGATTTTGGCACTGACACATTTGAGAGGGACATTATTGTGGAGAAACAGACAGGTGAGCTGCAACAGATATCTGCTCTACATCCTGCTTTTATGGCGCTTCAATATCCATTATTGTTTCCGTATGCTGAGCGCGGATGGCAGACTGGAGTTCTATACACTGGTGTCATAGAATCTACACAGAATGCTCGTGTCAAGGTTACAATGCAGGATTATTACTGCTACCTATTTCACTACAGGAAGAATGAGCCCAATCCCTATCTGTGTTATGGTCCGCTTTCAACCCAAGCTAAGGTTGATGCTCGAGCATGTGTTGATGAAAATAGATTGAGGTACATAGTGGATAATCAGGATGATATTAGAATGGAGAGTATACAGGGCATTTGTGATGCTATCAGTAAAGGATCTACAGAGGGCAGTGAGATGGGAAAGATGACTGTGTTACCAGCATCGTATACTGGTGGAAGACGTTACATGATACAAAATTATCATGATGGCATAGCTATCTGCCGAGAATATGGCCCTCCAGATTTTTTTGTTACATTCACATGTAACCCAAGATGGTTGGAAGTTGTTGAGGCTATTTTCGAACCAGGACAAAAACCAAATGATAGAAATGATCTCATAGTCAGAGTATTTAACATGAAGTTGGAGGAACTTCTCAAAGATATTAGACAGGGTATGCCTTTCGGACCTTGCAACGCAGGTACATTTTGTACATGCATACCAAACATCTATGTCTTTTCTTAGATATTGTTCTTTGTATTCCTGCCTATACCCACTTGTTCCTTAAGTGAGTCATGTTGTTTGCTTTTCATTGCGATTACATATCTTTGTCAATTTCGAAGCGGGTCTTCCACACGCATATATTATTATCCGGACTTCGGTGATACATCTAATCCCACTCCAAAGAATGATTGACAAACACATATCTGCCGAGATACGATCCAAAATTAGATCCATTAGGTTATGTTCGGTTGCAGAGCACATGATACATGGACCCTGTGGTAAACAAAACCCTAAGTGCCCTTGCATGAAGAACAACAAGTGTTCCAAGCATTTCCCTAAAACCTATCAAGATGATACTTCAGTTACTTCAACTGGTTTTGCTACCTATAAAAGAGGTCACGCCACACTTTTTGTCATCAAGGGAGGTTGCCACATGGATAATAGATGGGTTGTTCCTTACAACATGCTGCTCCTTAAAAAATACCAGGCACACATAAATGTTGAGTGGTGTAATAAGACTACTTTTATCAAATACCTCTTCAAGTATGTAACAAAAGGAGCTGATTGTAGCAAAGCTTACCTTCAGAGAGTTAAAAGAGGCCAGCAAACGCCGTTTGATGACGACACACAGACTATAAACGAGGTTAAGGAATATCTTCATTGTAGATACATTTGCGAACAAGATGCATGCTGGAGAATGTTTGGATATGATATTCACATACATTTTCCAACTGTTGAGAGAATGCCTGTGCACATGCCTAATGAGAATTTCATAACTTTCAGTGCGAGGGCTAAGATGGATAAGTTATTGTCTGCAGAGTTTTTGAGGCGAACTATGTTAACACAGTGGTTTGTATGTAATGAACTTTTTCCTGAAGCTAGAACACTGACTTATCCTGAATTTCCTTCTAAATGGGTATGGGATCAGAGAGATAGGAGATGGAGTAAGCGCAAACAGCGGCATGATAAAATAGGTCGACTTCGCTATGTGCATCCCTTGGCTGGAGAACGGTACTATCTTCGGATGTTGCTACTCATAGTTAAAGGAGCTACAAGCTATGAACATCTTAGATTCCACAACAGAGTATACTATCACACATTCAAAGAAGCTTGCAAGTCACGTGGTTTGCTCAGTGATGACCACGAATGGTATGATGCATTTGATGAAGCAGCAGCTTGGGCTACTTCGCCACAGCTGCGCAGCTTATTTGTCACTATGATACTTTTTTATGAAGTAGGTGATGAGAACACTCTGTTTGAAAAAGTTTGGAGACATCTAGCTGATGATATCATTTATCAGTATAGAGATATGATTGGAGACCCCAGTTACCAATTACCTGATTCAATGGCTAGAGACTATCTTCTTGATGAACTCTCTGCTCTTTTTTCTCAAAGTGGCAAGAATATAACAGACTTCAACTTACCGCCAAAGACACATGCTGCTTATCCTATTCTACACAATTGTTTTGTTGAAGAGGAGCTATCACATCCTCTTGATCCATTGATCGATATGAATAATCCAACTGTTTCCCTTAACGAAGACCAGAAAAATGCTTTCCATAAAATAGTACAGAGAGTTGAGCAGAATGAGCCTGGTTTCTTTTTTGTAGCTGGATATGGAGGAACTGGTAAAACATACCTATGGAATCGGATAGTTGGTTATCTAAGACGAAAGAACAAAATTGTTCTGACCGTGGCGTCCTCTGGAGTTGCAGCGCTCCTCTTACCAGGAGGCCGTACCGCCCACTCAAGGTTCAAAATACCTTGTGAGGTAGAAGATGATATGATTTGTGATGTAAGTAGAGGTACCATGCTCTCTGAACTAATTGAACTCACAAGTCTGGTTATTTGGGATGAAGCACTCATGGCTAATAGGAAATGTTTTGAAGCTCTTGACCGTACATTTCATGACATTGAAAAAGTTAAAAATCCTGAGATCGCAAATATTCCATTTGGTGGTAAGGTTGTAGTCTTAGGAGGAGATCTTAGACAGATCTTACCAGTAGTTGAAGATGGTAGCAAACAGGATGTTATTGCTGCTACTATCATCGCCTCCCGTTTATGGTCCCATGTTGAAGTGCTAAGTCTAAAACAAAATATGCGGTTGCTTTGCTCACCAGAAGATCCTATTCAGCAGCAACAAGTGGCCGCATTCAATAAATGGATACTAGACATTGGTGAAAATAAAATACCTACCCTTGCAAAGGAAGGAGAGGATGAAGGAAGCTGGATCACCATACCACAAGAATTCCTTGTAAGTCCTGCTGAGAACAGACTTGCGGCCATTGTAAAAGCAATTTATCCTGATTTCCATGCTAGATACAAAGATCCCATCTATTTTGTACAGAGAGCCATACTTGCTCCAACCAATGAACTTACGCATTCAGTCAATGACTATATGGTTCCATTGGTACCTGGCAGAGAGAAAGAATATTTCAGTTCAGATACTATTGCCAAATCTACTGCTCAGCATGAAGCATACGACCTCTTATATCCAATTGAATTTCTTAATTCCATTAATGGAAACAATTTCCCGCAGCATAGAATTGTGCTCAAACAAGGAATTCCGATAATGCTGTTGCGCAATCTGAATCAGAGAGCAGGCCTGTGTAATGGAACAAGACTCATTGTGACATCTATAGGAGAATGGACTATCGAAGCAAAGATTATGAATGGTTCTCACGCAAATCAGAGTTTTGCCATACCACGCATTACTTTATCTCTCAAAAATAATAAGTGGCCATTTGTTCTACAACGGCGTCAATATCCAATTAGAGTTTGCTATGCTATGACCATCAATAAAAGTCAGGGACAAACACTATCAGCAGTGGGTCTCTATCTCCCAAAACCAGTTTTTACACATGGATAGCTCTATGTAGCTGTTTCTCGTGTAACAGCGAAGCAAGGCCTCAAAATTTACATAGAAGACGATGAAGGTAGACCTACAGACCAGACAAGGAACGTTGTTTATACAGAGATTCTTCAACATCTATCCCAAGCATCGGTTGCAGAGATCTCCTATCAGTATTTTGCTTCTTAGTTCATTCTACCAAGTGATGCCTACTACAGCATATGATGATTTTGCATATCAATATTCAGAGGATGTTTGTTTTTGTACAGAGTTTGTTCTATAGTTTGATGTATATAACAAATAGAGTCTCAGTTTATATTTAAATACACCAGGTCTATATGCCTGGGTGTCGCCATATGTTGGCATGTGTATAATAATCTAGATATGTTATAGGTCAAAATGTAGCCACTCAAATGTTTTTTTTTGTAATAAAGGACTAGGATATTACTATGTGCTTGTGTGCTATCTACCTTACAATTTGTCAGTCATTGTTCCATTTTTTAAATATACTATTTCAAAGTCGTTTACACATGATTCTATTTTTCATATATGCATGTGTTGTTATAAAAAAATAATTTTTTTTATATATCACAGATACAGTATGCAGCAGCCCAAGTTTCTCAATAAGCTGGACAAAGGGAAACATCCACATGGTGTCATTGTTCGAGTTGTGAGAAAATGGACTCATTATGAAACTACGAGTCAAGGTGCCCCTCTATACATTGGCATGGTTCTGGTAGATGCAAAGGTGCTGTTTCTATTTGTTCTGTACATATTGCGTATTCACAAGCAGTTATAGTAGAAATAAACATAGTGTAACCATGGTATTCTGTTACAATTATAACAGGCCAATGCTATCTATGCTGAAATCTCTGATGACCTCATAAATGAGAAGGAACATCTTTTCGACATTGGAAAAGTGTACATCATAAAAAAATTTGTTGTGGAAGATGCCAAAAGAAACTACAGAGCAGTTGATTACAACCTGATGATTGACATCACAGAATATACAACTGTTGAGGTTGTTACAAAGGTTCCACAATCAATCCCAGAATATGTTTACAAGATCACTCCACTGCCAGCTATAAAACCAACGCGTTTGGTCTTCAATTTGACAGGTAAAATGCATGAACATACGCTATTTTCTGCACATTCTAATGTTATTCATTGCACTATGTGTTTACGATAGTCAGTATGACATACTTTTTGGTTTGCAAGATGTTCTTGGATACCTTATCAAATATGAGGCGGCTCATACATTCGTCCCAAAAAATACTGAGAAGGCTAAAACACTCAGAGAGATCTATGTTAAAGATTTAGGGTACGTATGTACACTACATATAATGAACAAAAATGACATACAAAATATGTAATGTCCTGTGATGGATTTATATGCAGTGAGAATGTGATGAAGATTACATTGTGGGGTGATCAGGCCATAAATTTCAACATTGATGCTGTGTATGACAGTGAGGTCGGTAATCTCGTTCTTTGTCTTGTCGTTGGCTGCACAGCGCGAGAAGATTTCAAGAACAAAGGTGACTCCTTACTCTCAGCCTGCATCAAAAAGCAGAGATGTGTATAATGGTCTGCATCAAAATATGTAATGTCCACCCGCCGCAGCCCACATAGTAGACAGACCTCTAACAATTCTGCCATTTATTTTTACACCCTCTGCAGTATACATCTGGTCTGGCCCAAAAAGTGAGTCGCCATGAGCCCTCATACCTAGACAGAGAAAAAAATTGTTCCAGATTACACTACATACAGTGCCAAAATAAAATCACAATATATCAAAACAAACCACAATGACAATTATATGCAAATAACAATGTACCGTTTCCAAATCCAAACTCATATGCAGCACCAAGTCCGTCCTGCATACCTAAAACTAAATAGTTGCCATGATATTCCAAAGTAACAGCTTGATTCACTTGCAAACCTTCACATATGACAACCAAATCCCATCCAGTGTTAAGTACATAATAATTCGATTTCCTCTCCATGTTCACCTTATACACACGACCTGATTTGGTATGGATGTACATCCATCGATTATATCCCCAGTTGATATTCTCCACGAAGACTTCCTGCGAGCCATAAAATAATGCACCAGCGTAACAGAAAATAAATATTATATAATATTACAGAGACAAATTTTTTCACAATTATCTCAACAAATTAGCCCTAAGACATAAAGTACTACACCAACGTAGCAACAGGAAAAAGAATACAAATTAGGAAGACGCAGCTATACATAATTATCTCGCCAAGCTTGCCCTGTAAGGTCGATATAGCTCCATATGCACGACATCTGGCCCTTCCTCCTGATCACAATGAGTAAAGGCACAAAACAAACTTAACAATGACAGCAATCATAGACCGATATGCAAATACCCTATACAAAAAGTATTCATGATTATACTCATATATATACCGTCAATGCTTCAAAGGCACATGAAAAAGGGTTCTGAGCCATATGAGCTTGAAAACGACCCAGAACTTCCAGATTCGATGACGATAACTTCCCTCCTGCGTTTATAAGAACAGCAAATTTATCTTATCAGAACAGAAAAAAAGGCACACCAATTCACAGGATGATATATGGTTTAACCGTTTTTCACACACCCTGCCCACCCTTATCTACATCTCTGCACGCATTACTCTAATTTCAAATACATCATCGATAGATCAGGTCAAACCAACATTACTATAGATCAAATTATTATAGGCCATAGTACAGTGAACACACGCACCCTGTTACTGAATCTATTCCTAAAACTATCTCCAGTGATCAAAATAAATAAACAATACTGTTATGTGACCATATACTTTTACAGAACTGCTCATACTGCTTCCATAACCATCACTCCCACTAATTGAATCTCTAAAATTTACAGCATCTATTTACCTCATCAATCTGATGAAATTTGCGCTTTCTGCTTTCACATTGTAAAACAAAATACCCCACACACACCCCCCGCTGTCCACCCCCCCCCCACTCCCCAACCCCCACTCACCTACACCACTACCTCCACTCGCCCAAGACTATCATCAGCATCGAAAAACAATATCTAAACAAACGAATCCCAAACAGAATGCGTGTATACGCCGCAAACAAAATCAAAAAAAAAATTAAAAAAAGGTGCTGCCTCCATAATATTACCGGCAGAGCCCACCGCTGCGCTTCTTCCCATCCTCATGTGCCTTTTTTTTTGCCTTCGACCAACCAGCATCTCCTCCCGATGCCTTCATCGAAACCCTAGAACAGCACGTAATCTATCAAACCCGTGATTCAAACTACGGAAAAAAAAGAGGCGAACTCATCTCAACGTACGACGGAAGATTAAAATCATTGATAACAGCACTTTGCACCCACCTGATTAATCCTTGTAGACAACTAGCTCCGAATCGCCGCCGTGCTCACGAGATTGAATCGAAAATCTATCGGAGCCGCGAAGAAGAAGAGACTCGATACTCCCGTGACGGCGAACCGCTGCAAATGCTTCCCGTGAATGTATAGTACACGAGCCGGAATAAAGCACACGACCGCAGGCCCAGCCCATCCACTAACTGGTCACACATATGTGGCCCAAAATTTTAACATGCTGAAAGGAATGGCCCAACATTCGTAGTAACCTCCATCCATTACGCTCGCCTTCGCCGTTTTTTTGCTCCACCCCCTTCCACGGACGCGCAAGGGCGCGCCCATCCACTAGTTCTATACAATTCTAACATTTCAGGGCTTGTTTGGAATAAAAGAATACAAAACCGAGGAACGGGAAAAACCACAGGAAAAGAATATGAGTGCAGTAGCAAAACAGATGAACGGAAAAACATAGGTATAAGATAGGATGAGGTGTTTGGAATGCAGGAAAATTATACTATGGAATGACAAAAGTAGTTGGTTTGATAAATGACATTGTTGTATTAAAAAATGTACACATGCCTTTCTACATGCACATCAGAAGGCTAATCCTCGAATATCTGACGAGTTAGTGTGCAGCTGCCTCGGGCTTCCACACAGGAAGAGAAAACCAGAGGTCTGGATATATGTTTCTTTTCCTATGAAACTTTGAAGATGGTACAGTATTCCGGAGGAAAGGAATTGGAGTTTTCCTTTGTTCCAAACGTCCCTCTCATCTTTCTTTCCTCTGTTTTTGTTTCCTCCATTTTTTCTACAAAATTTCTTTGATCCAAATGCAGCCTTTGTACTTTTGGATCCCTAGCTGGCTTCTAGAAGCTAGCTTCTACAATTTACTAGAATCCAAACAGGCCCTATGGTTGAAGACACTTCTAATTTTCAGTACGTTTTTTGAACAACCAGGCTACGTAGGTCCTGTTTGGATACTCAGGGATTTTAAGAATCTAGGAAAAAAAAATCTCGGAATCCTATAATCTCTTCTAAACACCATATGATTCCAGAAGATTCTTACATAGAGACACGTAATCCAAGAAACTTTAAAGATTTTTTTTATCTAGAATCCGGATTTTATAATCCAATCCAAATATGCCCATATAGTATTCAGATGGGTAAGTAAAAATACTAGCAGTGTAGCACAGACGACGGTACCTCCGTCCTGGCAAACGGACATTATCGCCGTGACATGTTCGTGTACCATATACGGAGTAATGCCCGTTCCATTTCCATGGGCCTGCCCCGTTTCATTCTTTCATGAATGTTCTCGTACACAAACTGAGACTGAGACTGAGACTGAGTCTGAAACTGGCGTGCGTCTGCGTTGCGCAGCAGTAGTACCGTGCCTCCATTCCAGCCACACAGTCGCAGGGTTTCACTTTACTGTACTTCACTTTGATCGATCAGTAATTGTTGGGTGGTCTTGGCAGGGCAACGGAAACCTACCTCACCATGCAGTACGTGTAAATAATCGCTCCGTTCGTTTGTGCTTATTTGACTTATAAATCGTACTTTTTTAGCCAACGAATAATATTTTTCTCTTATATCAAATCAGTTAACAATACTTTCAGTCATGACTTATCAACCAGACAAGTCCAAACGAACAGGACGAATGAAGAGTAATCAATCCGTAAAGACCTTTAACCGAGAGATCGACTGGCTCACTGACCTACTACCACGCTGTCACCTTCAGTATGACGGTATGAGGGGGCGCGTCCGTGCAATTTCTACTACCGCTAGTACTCTGCTGCCTGCCGAGGTAAAACTGTCGTGCATTGCAGTGGCATTCTTGTCCCGTTTAGTTTCTAAAAATTTTCAACCTAAAATATCACATCGAATCTTACGGTATATATATGGAGCATTAAATATAGACGAAAAAAAACTAATTGCATAGTTTAGTTGAAAATCACGAGACGAATCTTTTAAGCCTAATTAGTCCATGAAAAGCCTTAAGTGCTACAGTAACCCGCATGTGCTAATGACCGATTAATTAGTATCATTAGATTCGTCTCGCAATTTCCTGATGAGTTCTGTAATTTGTTTTTTTATTAGTATCCAAAAATCCCTCCCAACATCCTTCCGACACATCCGATGTGACACCCAAAAAATTTCACCTCACCAACTAAGGGCGCGTTTATATGGCGAAATTTTTTTGTTTTGGCTATTGTAGCACTTTCGTTTGTATTTGGCAATTAGTGTCTAATTATGGACTAATTATGTTTGAAAGTTTCGTCTCGCGATTTCTCACCCAACTGTGCAATTAGTTTTGTTTTTCGTCTATATTTAATACTCCATACATGTGCCGCAAAATTTGATGTAACACTTTAGGGTGAAAATTTTTGAACTAAACAGGACCTAAGCACCCCCTCAAGCTGGTTTATGTTATGAATTCAGAGCAAGCACGCAGCGGCTGAAGCAGTGCCCCTGCGGCCTGCCGATGGAGCTGCGTAGCCCTGGGCCGTTGGCCAGCGGCTGAGACCTAGAAACATTAAATATAGACGAAAAAAAACTAATTGCACAGTTTGATTAAAAATTGCGAGACGAACGTTTTGAGCCTAATTAGTCCAACACTAATTGTAAAATAAAAAAGAAAATGCTGCAGTAGCCAAATTTTCAACTTTCACCCAACTAAACACGGCCTGAGAATACGAGAAGCATACGTTCGGCCGGGATGGGTCTGCGCGCGATATGCCGACCGAAGCAGGAAGCCACAAAGCAGCGTTCGGCCGGGATGGGTCTGCGCGCGTGCAGAAAGCCACAAAACAGCCAAACAAACAGGCTAATAGGCTGATGGTGGTGGACCTGGTCAGCTGATGAGCTCGAAGGCGGAAGAAACCCCGCGTGGAAACTTGAATTCGCTGGGCTGGGGTGGTGGCTTCCGGCGGCTAGCCCGACCAGCGATCACCGCACCTGCCATCTCCCAATGAGTAACTGCTCTCCCCCCGGTCTGCCCGAATGCCGGTCACAGGTCTCCCGCGGGGCGGCGGTTCAGTAAATGATTTAGATTATTAATGGTGCTTACTCCCTCCGTCCTAAAATATTGTTTTCGTTTTTCAAGAAATAACTTTGATAAAATATATATTAAACAATATTAATATTTATGATATATAATTGGTATTATTAAAAAGATCTTTGATTCTAGTTTTTTAATAAATATATTTGAAGATACAAATATTACACGTATTTTCT